GTTATACATAGTTCTCAATGAATCAGTTGCAACAGCAGAAACAAAGTTTTTGTAGATTTCTTCACTTCAAAAAAAAAAAAAAACCCAGAACTTTAACATGATGGAAACTGATTTACTTTCAAGTACAAATGCTGTAAAATGGGGTAGAATTTACTGAGATGTGATTACACACCTGGTTGTATGGTAAATGTGTGCCCTGCTCTCTGTTACTTTGCACTTACGAATAACTAGAAGTTAAAAATGTGGACTACTTTAAGTTGCCTGATTGCTAGTCATTCATTTACAAAATTATTTTGCAGGAGTAGATGAGGACTCATTATGTTCAGAACTGTACCAGTATAGAGGAGGAGTTTCTTCCTTGTGTATCTTACAAATCGAAATATTTGACTCCCCCGCCCCAAATACTAGGCTGTTACATAAGCAGCCCTGTTCTTACAAGTGCTCAACATAAAAAGATATTGCTAGGTAGAGTGATACCATCCATATTTCATCTAGGACACATGGGTGGCCAGAATCAGAAGCAAATAATGGATGGTAAACACTTAGTTACATTCTTTTATGGTTTGTCTTGAGGTTTGACATCATCCTGTGAATCTTCTTCACCTGAGGAATGATCGTGAGCTTGTTTCCTAATAGCATCTGCTGTCTGAAATTGGTTAGATATGGTCTGCTAGATGTTATTGAATTTCGGTGGATTATTTTTCCCTGCAGATAAAAAAAAAAACTTTCCTGCTCTGGATGGTTGTGGGCTTTTTGCTGTTTCTGGTGCTTCTTTTTCCTTCTCTGAAAAAAAAAAACAAAAAAGTATGAAGGATAGGAAATACTTGGACATAGTCTGCAATCCCATCTTGGAAAGTAAGACAAGAGTCAATGTACGCATACCTACAAATGTGGGGGGAAGAAAAAGTTGATGGTTGTTTGATTGCTGACTTGAATTACCAGTCAAAAAATAAAAAGGTCAGGATGGATGTTAGCAAACAGGAATGTTGATACAGAACTGAAATCCTGTGAAAATCCCCAGAACTGACAATAGCTGTTTATCAAAATTACGATATTACTTCTTGTAATGTGCAGAAGTCATATCTTGCTTTATTAATGTCTTTGTGTATAGTGTTGAATAAATACATCTTCTGAAACTGAATCACGTTTATATATCATTTTGTTTGATCCATGACAGTTTACCAGCTGATAGATTTTTCTGCAATTGTGATGAAGGAAAAAATACGAAGTAATCTGAGTGGAGTATTAAGTCTTACCAAAAATAAATAGGCATCTTTGCCTCATAAAGCTCATGGTATTGCCCACAACAGAAGGATTTGTGTCAAAGAAACATTCTCTTATTTGCTGTAATACTAGTACGTCATTATTAGTTTCTGCTGGCACAGCAGCTGCTCTGAATGCTCAGCTCTCGGGATGCAATTCCAGAAGGTTAGTGGCTGATGTTATTCACGTTCTTTGTCACCTCAGTATGAAAGAAAGATTGAGGGTTGTTTTGGTGGTGGTTTTTTTTTTTTTTTGGGGGGGGGGGGGTGTGCATATGTTTGTTATGGTAGAAATCCAAGCCAGTTATGTGGAAGCTGAAGCAAGTCTGTTAGCAATTCTGTACAAAACCGGTTTGGTTTTGTACATTTTCTGTTCCTTACTGTATTGAAGAGTATTCAGACCCTTTTTTGTTGTTGTTGGGTTTTTTTTTTTTCAGTGGAGTAAGAGACTGGGAAGGGGTAAGGGTTATTCTATTCTGGAAGTGTTTTGTAATAAATTGCTATATGTTCAGAAATAGTGACATAATGGCTAATATATGGCATATAAATAGCAAAACTTAGCCTTTTGAAGCAACTTTTTTTTTTTCTCCTGTGACAGTTGCTACTTTCAGGCATACTTGATACTACTGAGTTCTGATAAAATGAATTTCTTTGAGCAGCATGCCTCTGGAGTGGGGAAGTTAACAGCGTTCAGAACTTTTTTAAAAGATAAGTTTATCAAAAGGAAAGACTTGAGTAACCTTGAGCTTACAGCTTAGACATAAATCAGATTGTGCTTCATAACGTCATGCTGCGCTTGTTATTTTTTTTGTGTAACTGAAGTTGTGTGGTGTTTGTTTTGTGTGGTCTCATACCCTTGTCCTATTGGACAATAGCATGTTATTCTCTTGGAAATAATGAAGCAGAAAGCCTCAAAGGAATTATTTTTTTTAAGTGAGACCGCAGTGTTGTATCATTTGTTGTGCAGATGTTTCTTTTGACTCGGAAGTGATAGTGTGTATGTAAGGAAATGTAGTCTGACCTGCTGCTCCATATGTGCCAGGCAGAGGACCTAAATGCAAGAGGCCATGCCTCTAGAACCACTCTGGGAGTATTTAATTAAACTTGCAAGATTCTGGTTTTTCTGCTTTTAATAGAAACAGTGCAGTAGTCCTAATTCTCCGCTGCATCCCCTCCTTCCCCAAAGCTAGGGAAAGGAGAAGAGAAAACTTGGTAGTTATGTTTGATTTTGGGGGTTGGGAGAAGGGTGGTATCCTGAGAGCAAACCAGACCTTAGTATCTATTATCAGCTGTGAACTAGAAACAGTCTGTGCAAAACTGCATTGGTCCTAGATTTACTAACTGTGCTTTCGGCAGTTCTCATCCATCGTCTTCACCAAATCTTCAATTATTTCCTTTAGACAGCATTACTCTGTCCTGTGGTCAGCTTCATTCATTCATCTTATGGTCAAATTGTTACGTGGGTTCCTGAGCGTTATTGTATGGAAAATTGTTTTTCAGCCAGTCTGGTGATGTTTTCTGTAAGTAAAAGAAAGCACTGTAAGCATCAGCAGCGTAGCATGTTGAAGGATCACTTGGGTAAAGTGGGTAACATTGAACAAAGTCTGGTTTTGTAGGGTTTGCAGTGTCATGAGTATATACTTTATAACTTCAGTTGACAGTGTTTGCTCTTCCTTGATGGGTTAAGATTTAAGGGTTTCCATCCTGCTACTTGAGTTAAGCAGACTTTCTATATTTAAATTGTACTGGTAAGTCATGGAAACAAATTACTTTCCTTATTTTCACTAGAAGTGTTTTGTTGGGTTTTTTAAAGTGTCTGTAGATAGAGAGGGGAAAATAGCCTTGCAAGTAGGCAGTAGATCACGTAGAGCTGAATGGGGTTGAAAGATATTTTGATATATAGAGTGAGAATCTTGACTCTATACCCATGAAGGCATTTGTCTGTACTTTGCTCAGGAAATTCCTTCTTAAAAGGTACCTCTAGTTAGGATGTGTTTTTTCTTTGTTCTAATACTTTGTTCATGGACAGAAGGAGTGTCTGTTTTCATGACCTTACCTTTCTCCCCTGCTACTAAAACCAAAATAAATTCCACTGCTGTCCTTTTGCATTTCCCACTCTGTCACTTTGCCCTGTAAATTTTGTGTAAACTCTTACAAACTCAACCAGAACAGTAATGCTTTTGAGTTTCAACTCTGCCCAAATAGAGTAAAATCAAAAATTTATTTTTGATGAGGCTGCTCTCAATGTTTGAACTCCCCCACTTGAAACATCAATTACCAGCAAGTGAGATAATAAAAATGAAGTGCTTTTATTTGTTTTAATTAGTTTCATGTTACGAATTTTACCTTTGTAGCTTAGTTTTCAGTGTAGTTTGGGTTTTGCAAAACTTAAACTGTTTTTTTTAAGTGATTATCATTTGTTGATCATTTGGGGTGGGGAGCTTAAAGTTCACCACAAGAATTTAAGAGGGCAAGTCAGATATAACTGAGAAATGTTGTAACCTGTAGCTTTCTGCTAATTACTTGTTAAAGTCTGTGTTATCAAATTCTGTTACCTGTTGTGTTTCATGGTTTTTCTTTCAATTTAAGCACTTTTATATACTTCCTTCTGTGATAAAAGGTAAAATGGCTGCAGCTTGGTTCATGTCACCTAATTTCAAAGATCGAATTACATTATCTGTTATTTAAACATTCTAGCTTTAGTAAGCACTGAGCACTTTCAACTGGTGGTTCACAGGTATATTATTTGTTACTTGCAATTAGGAACTTGTTTGACAGAATTGTTTTTCATTCTGTTGGGAACATACCAAGTAGTGTACTGGGTATTGAGATAAATGTTAAACTGTTCAATATTCTGGACTTGGATTCTGAATCTGCTGCGTAGGTGAATCTGGAAAAAAAAAACATGCTGAAGTTGCAGAAAGTAATTTTGTACCGGAGTACTATTAACTTTCTGAAATAGTCATGTCTCATACCATCTGTGTTCACTCATCAACTATAGATCTTCACAGATTGTGTTCCTTTTTAACATGTCAATCACTATCAATTACTTTGAGGTTTGAGTAAGTTACCTGCTGTAGCTATTTGAGTAGTCCTTGAAGGAGGTCAAGCAAAGAGGAGTAGTGCATCCATCTTACATAAAGTTAATTTCAGGAGAGTTTGATGTTGGCAAGCGTCAACAGTATTGGAACTTTCTTCTCTAGCTAGGCTGTAGGCTTGTACCAATGCAAAATAATAAACTAAGACTGCAGTCTGAATTGTGTTTGACTACTTGGGTGACACAAGCCTACACACTGCAGTATTTGTTGAGCAAGTAGCTCATAGCCTTATCCATAGAAGATGGGAGCATGAATGACCACTCTCAAAATGCTCTTCAGTATTGTTGGGATTATTTTACTTCTACAGCTTATACACTTGTGTATAGGTGTGATGCAATACGTGAAGAGTTAGCGGTGGTTTGCTTCATCTGCGTTACCATCTGAGGCGCGCACGTGGGTAGTCTGCAAGTCCTGCTCTAGAGATGACTGCGTGCAAAACACTTTGTATGCCAAGGACTGAAGACTGAGTCGAATTTCAAAGGTTTTAGAGTATCTCATGTATCCTTGTTTACTTCGATGATTAGACTGTTGATAGCAAAGCATCGGTTAATTTTTCGTTTTTTGGTTGCTTGTGAGTAAAGACTTTGAAAAATTAATTGAGTCTACAGTAAGTGAACATTTTTCTTTTGTCTCTTCACAGGAGTACCAAAGTCAGATCTTCTACATACAAGATCTTTAAGGGGGCACAGAGACTGCTTTGAAAAATTCCACTTAATAGCAAATCAGGACTGTCCACGATCAAAGCTCTCTAAAAGTCCGTATGCAGAAGTAAAAAATATCTTGAGCAAAAAAATTAACTGGATCATACAGTACGCACAAAACAAGGATTTAGACTCTGATCCTGAAAGCTCAAAAGCATCCCAGCACCAGCTTTTTAACTTCAGACATCAGACTGATAGAAAATTACTCCCACAGTTTGACTCCCCGGTACCTAGATACTCTGCCAAATGGATAGATGGGAATTCTAGAGGCATCTCGAGCTGCTCACAAACTCTTCTGGAACAAAGAGAATCCACTGATTTCAGACTTGGTGTGTTACAAGAAACAGGTGCTACCTTCTGTCGTAGCAATGTTTTATGGTCTAATCATAACCAAGTCCAGAAAGCTGAAAAAGCTGAAGATGATTCACTTACCAGTGTTCATAGAAGGCATCCTCAGTACAGCAGGGAAGAACGTAAGTATTTGCCTATTTACATGCAACCTAGCAAGCAAGGGCATTCTTCAAAATAGCTGTTGACCACTTAATGTCCCCACAGGGCATTCATTCGCATCTGGAAATCCACCTTTTTAACCTTTTGGAGTTACTGTAAAATCTGTGAAGAAAAAGGTTATGTGGTGAAGCAAATAGCATGGAGCGTTTGATTGGTGTGGGGGGTCTTGTCTGGTGGTGGTTTTAATTTTCCTGTTGGTTTACCCCGATGTAATACAGGACATGTTTAATTTACAAAATAAATTACAGTTGATTGCAGTCACTGCAGTATGTCAGTCTTGGCAATTCACAGCCCTGCCTGTGGAGATTACTAAGCTCTTAAAAGTGACTATCTTACTGAACTTGTGCAGTGCCTTGAGTTACATTTTACAGAGAGCTGCCCCAAGCAATCGGGGAAATTAGAGGTAAGATAGCAGAGCAAACTTATGGAACAACATAAAAAGTTAAACATTCTTAATAGTAGCAGACTTTTCTTGTGCGTTTTGCTAGATTTTGTCTGTTGAGCATAAGAAAATGGGAAGGCTCTTATGCCATTATGCTCTTAAAGGCTGTAGCCATAGACCTGAGCAATCTTTTGATGACTGTGGTGATATAGAAAGCAGCAGAAAATAAGTTTTCCTGTTACTTAAGAAGGAGGTCACTAGAAGAAGTCTTGAGAAAAACCTGGGATATTGTAGTGTCTCTGGAATCAGCCTACATGAAATGTGTTAGGACTAAGTTCCTAGAAATCTCTGCAGTTGCCACCCTGAACAGTGCCTGGTCCTAAACTGGAATATGTCTGCTCCTGCTTCTGTAGGTGAGTAAAGTACTTGGAGAGGGTTTCTGAATTTCAAAAGACCTGAGGAAGAAGTCCAAAAAGCTGGTAAAATACTCAGTGGAAAATCAGGTGATAAAAACTGAGATAATAGTGGAATACAGAATGTCAGAAGACAGAGTGAGAAAGAGATACTGTAAAAAGTTAGACTCCCAGTTTTTTAACAAATTAACAAACCTGTCCTTGCAAATTTCAGTCATTTCTCATTCTTTATAAAAGGATTTAATTTAATTGCTGTATGATACTTTGTATTGCATTTGTAGCAAATTAATAGTCTTTAAAACCATAAATCAAAACAGTCTGTGCTGTTTGACCACTTGTCCTCTGGAGTCATAAATTTGGATTACATAAATCAGGACAGCAGTTAACAGAGGAATTGTGAAAGCTTGACCTCGTTTATAGGGTTATCTAACTGAAGTTAGTGACTTGGAATTTATCTCTCTGATCTCTGATTTTGGGACAGGGGAACATAAAGCTGTTTTGAGCACGGTAACTTTTTTTTTTCTTATGCTGTGACTGCATAATGCACTTTTGAGGCATTTTTTGCTTCATATTGTAAGTATTTGTTTAATCTTTTAGCTTTAAAAGGCATTCATTTGAAGACTATTATTATCTAAGTTCGTATTTTAGAGAAAAACTTAGTCAGACTTTCTCTGCCAGAATTAGGTACCTTCTTTTTTCAGTACCTCCACTGTAATGACACAGCAGTCTACTAAAAAACCCTATTGTTAAAGTAATTGTAAATAGCTTGGTCAATATTTCTTTATAACTTACCTTGGCTATGGATAGAATAATGTTCTGTCACTTAAATTTGGTGTTCTGTTCCTTCTCCTGTTTGCCTTCTGTATTAGTTATGTGACATGACAGTGCTGTCCTGATACACGTGTACACACACACAAAATTGTGAACCTGCCTGCTACAGTTGATGAAGTGTTGATGAAAATAATGAAAAATAGGAAGTAATATCCTGCCACTGGGTATAAAATGGAAAAAAAAATCCTGACATTTTTTATAAAACTGTCAATTACTATATTAAATCAAATCAGGGTTTTCATGGAGCTTGAAAGGTGGTAAGATGTGAGAAAGGAATCTTCAGTTGTATTGATAGCCGAAGGTAGGAAGGAGTATCACTGTACCCAACTGTTGGAGGAGAAAGATTAATCTGTTTCATTCTTAAGTGGCCTTATGTCTTGAGTAACAAGTAGGCTACCTTAGCTGTTGCCAACTTCTTTGGTTTGGCAATATAGACAGAAAGACATGGAAAATGTAAGAGAGTGGCTTAGGGTAATCAAATAGTCCTGTGGGTATGTCAAAAACATCCTTTTCAGAACTTAGGCTTTACATTTACAATATAGAAACCTCTTGCACTGAGAAATCTCTGAACAAAAGCTGCGTGATTGCAGCATAGATTTTTCTAATGTGTGCAGTGAGAGCTTTACTAGGCTGCAGCGTTGTTTAAAAACAATACTTAAAAATTACAAGGTCTTAAAGCTTGTTTCAGTGCCCTGTATCCTCCTGTAGTGATTGGGATTGTCACTTTTCACCATGCTGCCAAGGGCATCTCAGCAGCAGATGTGGCACCAACCTCTGCCCACCACTGCTGGGCTGAGGGATTTCTGGGAAGCAGTCCAGTGCTTCCCTACTTGCTGCTGTTGATTGAAGGCAGCGTAGAATACTTTTGCAATTCCCTTCTCTGAGGTTTAATATATATTTTTTCTATGAGGAAGATCAATGTACACGTACCCTGAGATACAGAAGGGCTTTTGAATGATGCAGAGGATCTTTGAGTTCTCGCTAGGAACATAGCACAAGAAAGTGAGAAGAAAACCTATTTTTATATGCTGGTCTTTGTATCAAACTAAGATTTTTCTTCAACATTTGTCACTGAGGTACTTAGTGGAAACTGTATAAGTTATTCTTATGCATAAAGCACAAACCTTGGTACCAAAACAGGTAGCTGCATGCTGAAAATTCTGTCAGGAAGCTGTTTTCTGTGGGCCTGCAAACATAGCAGGACCTACCTCAGAACTGTCCACTTGCCCACAATTAAACAGGCATACTTGCAGGGGTTACGCTGTGAAAACAATGTTTTGCAGTCAGAGGAGAGTAAAATATTTAAAGGTGTCAAAACAATGTACAAGCAATTCTGATTCTGGACACTACTGTTTCAAGAGCTTGAGTTTCCAGCTTTTTGACATTGAAGAGGGTCTTTCCTATGGAGTAAATCCTTGTCTATGTAAACATAAAAGAGAGGGTTTTTCAAACTTTCAACTAATGACTGATAAATAATAGTACCTCTGACTTACAGCCACACATCTGTTGATTATTAGGATGCAAATTATGACAATTAGAGAAAATAGGAGTCTGCTTAGGGATGCTTTTGTGACTTCAATAGTAGTGATAACAAATTTTGTTGTTACAGTGACTATGATGACTCTTGAAGAGTTAAAGCAACTTAATGAAAAACTGCTCAAGCAAATCCAGGGTGAGAATTTTTCAGTACTCTTTGATTTGGGTTTGTGTTGCTTTGTAATAAAGAAAATCTTGTTTAAAAATATAAATTGTGATGACTTGCCTACCAGTTAAGTTTTGAACTGAAATCTCTATATATCATATTTTCATGTAAAACAGGAAGCTTCTAGGTACTTTTATTATGTGACCTCCTTGGGTGTTGCAAACTGGCACTGGAAGAATACGGTATTTTCTTTGTGTTTTTTTCCACTGGAATCATGGAATTGTTTAGGTTGGAAAAGACCTTTAAGATCGAGTCCAACCATTAACCCAGCACTGCCAAGTCCACTGTTAAACCGTGTCCCTAGTGCCACACATCTTTTAAATACCTCCAAGGATAAGGACTCAACCACTTCCCTGGGCAGCCTGGTCCAATGCTTGACAACCCTTTCAGTGAGAAATTTTTTGTAGTGTTCAATCTAAACCTCCCCTGGCCCAACTTGAGGCCATTTCCTCTCTTTCTATGGCTTCTTACTTGGGAGAAGAGACCAACCCCCACCTCACTTACAACCTCCTTTCAGGTGGTTGTAGAGAGCGACAAGGTTTCCCCTCAGCCTCCTTTTCTCCAGGCTAAACAACCCCAGTTCCCTCAGCCGCTCATCATAAGACCTGTTCTCCAGACCCTTCACCAGTTTCATTGCCCTTCTCTGGACACGCTCCAGCACCTCAGTGTCCTTCTTGTAGTGAGCGGCCCAAAACTGCACACAGTATTCAAGGTGCGGCCTCACTAGTGCTGAGTACAGGGGGATTGTCACTTCCCTGGTCCTGCTGGCCACGCTCTTTCTGATACAATCAGAATCAACTTCATATTGAGTTGTAAACTGATCCATCTTGGCTCGGGTCACCTAAAACTATAAACTGGTGATCCTGTTCAGTTTACAATGCCTGCAGCAAGCTGTGCTGGAAGCACAAAAAGTGGTGTTCGTGTGCATGAGCCCCCTAAACGTCCATGTCTCTTTCATAGTAGTGTTTGACAATGCTTGTAGACTCTGTGAAAGTATGAGGACTGAGGGTATTAACCTGATGATGTTCTTGCAGATGTGTTTGAGGAGCTGACGCAGCAAGTCCAAGAAAAGGACTCTTTGGCCTCAGAACTCAATGTCCGTCATATTGCTATTGAGCAGCTGCTGAAGAACTGCTCCAAACTGCCATGTCTACAGATGGGACGGGCGGGGATGAAATCAAATGTCCCCACATAAAGGGATACAACTTCTGTTCCTCTATAGAGCTAACTTTCCCAAACAGCTTTGATAACCATTAAGTACGGCTGCACAGATATTTAGAAGCTTTTGAGGAAACTTGGGCAGCTTTCTCTTTGCATTCGTAATCCGTGAGAAGTCTTATTCTGTGGGTTTTAACAAAAAAGGCAAATATTTTACATACTAAAATGAACTGTAATAAGGTTTATTCACACTTAGGGATTATTATTTTTTCCCCATAACTACGCATGAGCCTTTAAATGAATTCTGTGTTTTGTTGACAATAAAATTGTTTCTAACAAAGAATGACCTGAAGCCTGTAAACCTGCTTCCTTCATACAGAGGGAAAATAAAAAATTAAGTTTTTTATCAGGTCTGATCATGTTACATCTAAGAGAGCTTTAAGGGGAGAGCAGTATTAATGAAACTCAAGTTTTCTTATTTATTATGAGCAATATTTTATTATTGAAATTTTATACTAAATATCACTATTTTAGGTACTTTTCCAGATCTCTTTATAAAATGTCTGAATTACTCTGTGTAATGTTTATGCCTTGTGTATGATTGTTTATTCTTTTTCAGGTCTGTATCTTTCATGATACAATTTAAAAAAAACAATTGCTTCCCAAAGAGATGAATTTCACATGTTAAAAAATTGTGGCGGTGCATCACTTATTTTTATCAGCTTTATAACTGAAGAATATGGTTCGTGAGAGATGTTTTTTAAAAAAAAAAAAGCACAGCACTTCATTTAAATTTAAAAAAAAATATATCCATTCTTTGGTTTTAATGCATAGAAGTTGAAGTTGTTTTTATATGTGTGAAATTTTCAATGCTGAAAAATTACTTTGACAAAACTAAATAAATTTATAATATTACATTACCTTGTTATGATTCTTTTATGAAGTTGGATCAGACTCTGATAGCGTTTTAATTTTGAAATGCGAATAGTAATGATACATTATAAAACAGAACAGCATCTACTTTTTTTAAAACTTCTATCAGTCTCCCGTACTAGTTAATCTTTGCCAGAAAGGCTGTTTGTAGAGCTGTGTTTGTGTAACTGAAAGTTGCTGAGTTGCCCTGAAAAAGTCAGGGGTGGGGAGAGAAACGCTCCCCCCCGCCCCTGAAGTTAAAGTCTTTGTGCTTTCTGATTTTATCACTTCAAGTGAAAACAGCTAGTAATTTATATAGCTGAGCTGAAGGAATGACTAGCATGAAGAAAGGTTTAGATCTGATTTTAAAATCAATCTGAGACGTAAGCTGAAGTTCAGACTAGGTTCAGACTGCTGTTCCTGTAGTGACACCTGGACTGCATAGGACAGGTGATTAATTTCGTTGTTTTTCCATAATACATTTCTTTAAGGGCCCTGAAAGGAGTTGGGAACAGCCTCAGAGTATGAGTGGGGACTTGAACTTGTCTGGTATTTTATGGTTCAAAAGGGGGAAAAACCCAGTAGCATCACTGCTCGCATACGCAAGTGGGCCTGTAAGTAAATGTGCCCTAGCTAATCCCTAATGGTAGTTGTCAGAAGATGGTTTAATCTCCATGTGCAAGTCTCTCTGTAAATCTTATTAATGCAGTACTAAGATAACTGCAAGTGTTAAGGTGACAGGAGAAATCCTGTTGTTGCTCATATCTGTGAAAATGACCATTGTACAGCCTGAGTGAGGCTGGATCCAGAATTCCCCGGGCATCTGATCAGACTGGCGAGGGCTTTAATTTCACTTCGCTGGATAGTGGGGAGAATTATGTTTAACACTTTTGCTGTTTGTTTTTGTGAGAATTAAAGGTATAGAATCTACACTTGAAGTCCTTCCTACTACATTTTCAAGTATTTTGGTTTTGTTACATTAGATAAGGTTTTTGATCCAAGCGAGGTTGAGGGGGATTCTTTTGTTTTTAAGAGGGATTATAATTAGAAAGGATACCTTTTGGAACACATAAGCCATGGTGAAACAGATTTATTTTTTTTTTTATGCTTTGCCCATAATACGATTGTGAGTCAGAGGGAAAGGAAAGCATATACCTTGCATATGTGCTTAAAGGAAAATCTAACTCCTTGGCTGACAGAGCACTGGAACAGGCTGCCCAGAGAGGCTGTGGGGTCTCCTTCTCTGGGGACGTTCAAAACCCGCCTGGATGCATTCTTGTGTGACCTGCTCTAGGTGGTCCTGCTCTGGCAGGGGGGTTGGACTGGGTGATTTTTCGAGGTCCCTTCCAGCCTCTAACATTCTGTGATTCTTCTTAAGCTCAAGCTGCAGAGGGGGTCAGTGTGTACCCCCAGCTCTCTGGCAGCTCTGAACCAGAGTTGCTGCTGCACAGCTCTGTAGCCCAGAGGAGTTCAAGAAGACAGACATGACTGTGTTCTTGGTTTAAAATAATGTGCTACATGAAAAGCTCGTATCATCATATGCCTGGGATTTCTTTCCTCATTGCTTTCCTGACTTTCACTGGGAAATCTGTCTGGTGTAAATATTGCACAAAGTTTGAATTATTTCTGTATATGAAATATTGATTCTTGGGGTATTTGGATGAGATGCTTGTATTTTGAGTAAGTAGTGAACAAGTTTTAACAAGGCAGAAGGGGAAAGACTTTTGCATTTGCAATAGTGATATTTGAGGCTATGAACACCTATCAAATAAAATCCAGTTTGAGAGTATTAACAGCTTAAAGCTTACCAGTTTTCATTTGCATTATAAGATACCACGTATTTAAAATGGTAACAAGAACTGGCCAGAAAGGGGCATACTTAAACAGAAGGATCTTAATGAATTGCTACAGGTTTGGGTTTTTGGTTTGGTTTGGGTTTTTTGCTATTGCTAGTGGTAAAGGGCAGAAACAGAGTTCTGTTTTAACAGAGGAATGTGTTAGTGATAAAAACATTTACCTGAACTGAATCCTGACACCTTTTGTTACTTTGTTTGTATTGCGATGCTTGGAGACCCCAACAGCGAGAACAGAGCTACACATACATCTGGATTAGACAGTAATTAAATTCACAAGGAGGAGTTTTGCTTGAGCAAAATGAGTTCCGTATGAGTATAAAAGAGCATACCACAAAGTTAGGTCCGTTTAAGAGCTTAATCTATTGGTTTTATGCAGATTCTTCCTATTTTTAGGAGCAGCTTAGTACCTGCATTATAGAAATGTTCCTCTCCCTTTTCCCAAACTCGGGATCTCACATTGGGCAGGGGTATTCTGTTAGCACCCCAGAATGATAATGCCTGTGCTGGTTTCCATGCCAACAAGCCATTTCCAGAAAATGGGTAGGGGGCATGGGGCTCGTTGGTGCTTTTTAATCAAATCCTAGGAACAGGATTGGTTGGTTTGTTTGGTGTTTTTTTACTAGAAATATTTCTGCCATGTAACACTTTCTAGATACTGCAACTGTTTATGTCAAAATTGGAAATGCTAATTACATGTGGCAAATATGTAAAAGATTGCAGTTAAATTTGTTTTGCAATTAAAAGATTTAGATTGACTTGCACATTTAAATAGTGAGATTCAATTTTGAGCGAAATGTAATAAAGCAATCTGTTAATTTATTTTTCAGATTAGCAGATTGCTTGCTTTATTCCTCAGGAATTTTTGTTTTAAGAATGAATAAAGTGTTGTTTCTGTTTTTTACTGGATATAAAATTAGTGATGTATAACTGAAACAACATTAAGGAAATGTAACTCTAGGAATAGCACTGAAGCTGTTAAAGTCAGTTGGGTTGTATGTTAAGAAGACTTTCACACAATAGCTGTGATTCTAAAACATCTCAAAATCGTGATGCTTCTGGCCAAAGAAAGAAAGGCTTTAAATTCCTAAAGTCTGCAAGTAAATCTATTTGTTTTTTAAAAGTCCTTTCTTTTACTGTGTTGTATGAAGCAGCCCTCTATTCACTTTTGGTTTGCAATGATTAAATATACTGGCAACTTCTTGGCTTCAAGTTTTTAAAATATTTCATGAGAGTGTTATGTTAAGACGGTGTATTGGAATGGAGGGAATGCCAGTGGCCGTAGTTCTCCAGGTAGATTAAATTCTGCAGTAGGGTGGAAGAAACAAAGCTGCTACTAAATTGCTATTGTTGTTTGGCAGTCAATGGTGGATGCCATGGTGAAATGAAACCCTTTACTGGTTTTTTTTTGCCTCCATTTAATTTGTATCCCATACAGTTCCCATTGCCATAGAGTCCTGAAACCTGCAGGAAATACCTTGCAATCACTTATTTGTCTACCATCTGCTTGAATGTTTATTTAAAGGACTGTTTTCCTCAGTTACTGAGAACAAATTAATTTGCTAGTGGAAGGTGTAGTTACGTAGTTAATTCTTTTCTATAGCCCCTTCCTAAGGGAGCCATCTCAGACACACCCCAGTCCTTGCCTGCACTAGCATCTCCCTCTGCTCTGTGTACTCTGTGCTTCTGAGTCGCCGTGACAAGCCTGAGAAATGCCGTCGTTCTTCAGTTAGCATAAACAACAACTGAAAAATTATAGTTAACTTTTCAGTATTCGTAATACCTGAAATTTTCCTCCCTGCCCCTCCGACACTCAGCTTGCGCTCCTGGTAACCTGCCAGTACCTTCCCTATTCTCGCCCTTTGGCTGCCGTCCTTCCCCAGGCCCCGGACACAGGGTTGAAGTAGGATTGTTGACAGAGCAATTTATTGGTAGATCAAGGATTGAGGAGTAAAGCATGAACATGAAAAGGTAGGAAATTGGGAAGAAACGAAGGGTGTTTAGCCTGCAGCTGGCTGGCAGCCAGGCCATCAGTGTCAACAGCATTGGTGGGTTTGGTGTGTGAGTGCAGTTCAGCAGTCCCCAAGGTCTGTGGCTCTGTTCTCACACCCAGCTCCCCCATCCTCACCATCCCTCCCTGACCGCTGCCTGCCTGCTCAGCAGTGGCTTTTCAAGCATTTTACCTGGGTGTCAGCACAGTGGTGCTTAGCCAAGCAGCTCAGTAAGCCCCGCTGATCTTGTGTGCGTGTAAGAAAAAATAAATACTTGCTCAGTACTTACATGTATGTCGCTTGCAGAGCCTCTGTGCAAGGCTACGGATGGCCAAATGTAGTGACTCAAGCCATAAAAGATGTCTGCTGTTGTATGGCAAGTATAGCCTCTAGGTAGATGCGGGTATATTGTCATTGTTATATGCTGGCTGACCCCGAGATAA